AGTGTTTCTTTGGGCTCATCCACACTTCTGCTTTTCCTGTGCCCAGAAAACACAGGTCCAAGTAGTTTTGCCTTTGCCCTGCCGCTTTCCCTCAGGAAAAACCTGCTCCTTAGTTCAACATCTAAGCAAACGTCAATCCAGAGAAAACCTGGCTGAGGTTTGCTCTCATTCAGCAGTAGAGAGCAGGTTTTCCTGGAGGAAAGGTGTGGGAGAAGCAGCAGTCTGGATGAGTCCCTCTGTCTTGCTCTTTGGTCACTGTGACTGAGCACCATTTTGGGCCGCTCTGTATCCATTGTGAAGGGGATCAACCAAGAAGTTGTGGAGGGAACTGGAAGAGAAGCTTGGTCAAGAGACTGGCTCATGTCAGAAGGAGGCCTGAACTCATCCTCGCTGAAGCCCAGCCCAGCCCAGGGCAGGAAGGCAGCATTGCCAAGAAGAAGGCGGCATTTGGAGACAAATCATCAGCAAAGAGCAGAAAACCACCTCCTGTTCCATCAAGAACACAGAAGAATCTCTAGTCTGCATTCAGGTGAGTTAAGCATCCCAGGTCTCTTGGGTCTTCCTGTCCATGACAAACCTGACTAGAGGCTCCATCATCTGAGCCCCTGCACTCCTTGCATACATGAAAGGGGAACATGAAGGATTGGAGGCAGCCTTTTCCTGGAGCCTTGGGCTGTTCCTGCCACCATCTTACCTGCAGCAGTTCACTCGCTGGCTGCTGACGCTTCTCCTCCATCTCCTGGATGATCCTCTCAAGAGAGGAGAGTTTCCTGGAGAGTCTGGGCCAGCTGCTCATCCCTTCTCCCTGCAATCTCCTTCTCCACCTCTTCCATATGATTCAGCAGACCTTTTTCTTGTTCTTCCAGGAACTGGCGCAGTTCTCTGAACTTCTCCACAATCTTCAGCCTCTCTGTTTCTGTTAATTTTCTGCAAGAAAAGAGGAGGTCTGAGTGTGTTTGGTGCTGTTAGGGAAAAATCTAGGTGTGAGGCTGCTCAGTCACCCAGCTCGTCGGGGCATAGCCTGCGGGTCCCTGCGGAATAAAGGAAGGAGTCCAGCCAAGCGGAGCAAATAGCTGTAGACCAAAGTTTATTGCGGCAATAGGTTCAAAAGCAAATTTGAACCCTGAGGATGGGGTGACAAAGACTTTTAAAACTTTCCCACCACATCCCAGAATACAGTTCGAAGGGGAGGGGGTAACCTTGGCAAACATGTCCAGACAAGTCCTTGGTACAAGATTAGCATAAGCAGACATGGCAGGGCAAGACTCAGGTATAAGATTAGCATAGACAAATATGTCTTAAGTACCCCACTTAAGTACCCCAAAAGTACAATAGAAGTCCCTTTGCATGTCTGGAGCCTGAGGGAGTCGGGTGATGAGATTTGGCTTCCCTTGGCTAACAATGAGCCCAGCAATTGTCACCTCTGAGAACTTCCTGGAGTCCTTTTGCAAGGGGAAAATAGCTTTGGAATGGGGGGAACTGGGAAAGGAGATGATTTTATATTATTTTTTAAAGCTAGGTGACTTTCCTGAGCTGTCAAGTTGGAAGGATATATTCAGGCATAATATTTGTAATATTTAACTTTAAAGATGTGCCCCCCCCGTAATTTCCGTAACATGTGCTTAGCCTCGAAACAGCAGAAAGAAAATTATGAGAATTCCACAGGGAGGAAGGACACTTCTGATTTTTCTATAGACATGAAACCTCCAGTGGCTAAAGAAGTAAACCTATATTTTGAGGGGAGGCCCTCTCCATTGCTGTTTCTGTTGACTTCTATTTTGCAGACGGATACAGCCTAAAGGAAGGAGCTCTTTTTCCTAGCCATGGATTATCCCTGCATGTTTTGGGGCATGGCATAACCAGAGTTCACAGTTGTTCAGAGAATATCAGAGACATAAAACACCCCTCAGTTTAGACTGGGGCCATTTAGGTGTAGGAAGAAACAGAAACAGAGGAGGACAAAGTGCAGAGTTCATCCCCAGAGCTCCCCTGTTTCCTTTAAAGGTTTAAAAAAAGCCTGAGTTTCCTAAAAATGAACAAGAGAGCACATTTAGAATTCAGTTCTTTAGTAATATTTATAGTAAATCAGGATTTGGATTGAATTGCTTCCACCCTTTCAGCTCACAAGTCCTCAAGCTTCTCCTTGACTGCTATTCACATAATAAAGGACAAGGGGAAATAAACACAATTTAGCTGCATTCAAAGGTGAACTTACCTGATACGGAAGGAGGAAGGGGGGGTACCTGTCCCCTCCCCACCACTTTCTGAAGGGGTCCGAGGCGATGACCTCGACAGTGCCCAGCTCTGCCTAGAACCCTCAGCCCCCACACCGTTGCACAAGCACTACACTATACCCCCTATACCCCTGCCTTGTGAATAAAAGGCTTTCTTTTCCTATCTTTATACGGGCAAAATAAGCCCCATCTTTCTTATGCCTTCCTCTCGCCCTATTTCTAACGTGAGTAGACCGTATCATATTGTATCCCCATTCACTATAATGGGCCGCGTTTTAGCCAATCACAGCCATGCATTCGCCCTGCAGAAGCTAGCTCAGGGAGCTACTGCACGCCTCATTTCACCTCCTGACAAGCTGCTGACGGCCCCCCACTGCCAGAACAATGGAATCGAAACCCCGGACCTCGTAAAACTGTCAAAGTCTTGCTACAATGTATCCATTCTGTTACAATGTATCCATTCTGTTTCCCCTTTTGATCAGCAATACGAAATAGGCTGGAAAATACGGAAACCTTTGGAAATTGATATAAAATCAACCGTAACTCCGATTTCCTCGCTCTTGGTGCCGTTCAACTCAGCTCCCTTTGGACTCCATGATGCTACCCCTACTTCCATAATCCCCGAAACGGCAGGTCACGTACACAGGAACTTCCTAATCCTGTCAAATCGTTCCGCCTAACCCTTCCTCCGGGCAATACTAGGTGGCAGACGATGCATATCTCTGGACTATTGTCTTGCCACCACCGGTACTCAAGAAATGTTTATCTATGCATATCTCTCACTCTGCATGTCCCCCCCCTTATCTAAAATGTTAATTAGTGGAACCCCACCTTTCTTTAATATATTCATGACGTGTGTAATGTATTCATGATGCAACTCGTGAAACCCAACCTTCCCATAATGTATTCATGACGTTTCTTGCACTGTATTCTGGGACTCGGAGGGAACTTTTAAAAGTTTATGTCGCCCCATTCTCGGGGTTCAATCTCGTCTTGAACCTGTTGCGCAATAAACCTCGGATCTCCGCATCTTGCTCCTGCGTCCGGCTGAGCTTATTTTCTCCGCTAGGACCCGCGGACTTTGTCCGACGAGCTGGGTGACAGGACAACTCCGCACCCGGGATTTTTCCGTAACATTACCTAATTTGCTCTTGCTGAAAAAATACGGAGACCAAAACAGAGTTTTAAAATTCTGATATTTTCAAGCTGGACCCAGCCAGGTAATATTCACAAAAAATGTATTTATGAGGGTAAAGTACAGATCAAAATATTTATACAAGGAGGTAGCTACCCTAACAACTGATTCATAACAGACTGATGTGGAAAAAGGAGAAATGAGGAGAAGCTGAAACGGGCAGATTTCTCCATCCCTCCTCAGTCCTGACTCTCTTCTTCTTCTTCTTCTTCTTCTTCTTCTTCCTCTTCCTCTTCTTCTCTATTGAATTTATATACTGCCCTATACCTGGAGGTCTCAAGTGCTTGTTCCCTGTCGAGTAACAATAGAGACACTTACCAGGAGGTCTTTGCTTTCCTTGTCCAGATCTGCTCGATAGGCCAGAATTTCCTCTCTCTTTCCTCAGAATCTCCAGGCGGTGACAGATCTCTCCCTAAAGAGAAAAGGAAAAACTCAGCTTTGATTGAGACACACAGAGAGATGGAAATCACAATGGCTTCTTGCGCCCAGTGGCCTTGCTAGAATAGCAAAGTAGTTTCCTGGAGGAAATAAAAGCACAGAGGTTTTCAGCCTTTTGGGGTCCACGGCTCCATGGGTCAACTACCTTCTTTCTGCGGCAGCCCTGTGGGGCTCAGGATCTCAGTTAGGTCCCCCCTTCCTTGCAGAGCTGGCAGCCCCTCACCTTTTCTCAAACACCCTCCCTTGTGGAGTGATCTCTCAGCCTCCTCTCCTTTCCTTGGGAGTCCCAGCCTGACTTCTCACCTTGAGGTCTCAGGGAGAAGTGGGAAGAGGAGGAGGAGGAGGAGGAGGAGGAGGAGGAAGGGCTAAGGCAGGATCCAACCTGGGATGTATCAGTCTAGCGTCAAAGAGATACTAGTGAGGTCAGCCCAAGAGGCGAGAGATGCAGAGATAGAGCAGCGCTTCTCAAAACTTCACCCATTCCAAACCCCTCTTTCGGGTCAGATAGCAATTCAGGTTTTCTGCTATTTGTCAGTTATTTTCTCTGCAGTAGCCAGACCCCAAGTGTGCTTGGGCAACCAGGGGAGATTTAAGTGCTGCAGCTTCTTCCATTTCTGGGCCAAAGAAGTTCTGGCTGCGGCCAGAATCCACCCAGGTAGCTCCTTCGGTCAGAAGATTGCTGCCTAGTCATCCTGCCAATTCAAAGGGACCAGCTTTCCCCCACTATTATTACTATTTCGTGGCATTAGTAGCACTGCATGGCACAGGAGCATTTTTGCACCACTGTAGTAGAACAACTGATTTTTAAAAAGGAATTAAAAGGCATTATATATAGTATATAATTGCACAGGTCCAATTCCGAGTTGCCATGAAAAAGTCATCTTTCCCCCTGGTCTTTGCAGATGCTACTCTGAACCACGGAGTCCTTTGCCATTTGGGGTGGGAGGAGATCCTCAGCCCCCCCCCCCGCTGAAACCTCATTGCACAGGCTCCACAGCACCCCCAGATTAAGCCACCAGTAGCTCCTTCCACTCCCAAATCTGCTTCCAACAGATACTTGGGGGGTGGGATCCTGCACCATCTGGTCAACTCCTGGCTAACAGTCCCCGCCCGCCCCCAGCTGATTCCTTGCTGCTCTCTGTTTTGCAGGGCATTGAGGAGACATGTACTTAGTTGTGTATGTGCCATTTACATTTGTACTGTTCTTAATGCGTACATAGCAACCTTTCAGGGGGATGTGGACGAGGTTAACCCTTTCTCTCCCTGCCAAGGTCCCAGTTCAAATCTTTCAAGATCCCCTTGTCCCCCTGGCAGAGAGAAAGACTTCAACTCCCCCCTCCAGCCACCCCAGGAGCCCTCTGGTTTCCCCTGGGCTGCTTCCAAGGTGATAAACAATGACCAATTCATGCCATGGCTACTTTGGACCTGAGAATTCAAAAGAAAACCTCCCAAGAAGAATCCACAGCTATTTTATTTCTCCCCCTCCAGATCCAGGGATCTCCTACCTACCTTGTATTCCTCGGAAGCCTCCTCCAGAGGAATCACCTTGTGATTTTCATGTTCCTTGGATCTGTTACACACCAGGCAGATGGGGGCTTCATGAACTTTGCAGAAGAGCTTCAGGGGCTCCTGGTGCTTCTCGCAGATTCTCCCTTTCCCTCCTTCCTCCTTTCCCTCTTGAAGGCCGAGATTCTTGGCTATTTCCACCACATTAGCCAGTTGCCGGTTGGGGATGAGGCTCCTTCTGTGGACTCTTTCCCTGCACTGAGGGCAGGAAGCCTCTGCCTTCGATTCCCCCCAGCACTGGGCCAAGCAGGATCGGCAGAAGTTGTGCCCACACTCTGGGATGGTCACTGGATCCTTGAAGTAATCTCGGCAGATGGGGCAAGTGGCTTCATCACGGAGACGCTGGATGTGACCCCCTGCAGCAGCCATGGCTCCCTCGTGCTGAAGAGTCCCTTAAGTTTCGCTTTTTCAGTTTTCAGCCACTGGGAGTTTCCCTTCCTGGAAAGTGTGTTCTCCCTGTTGTATATGCTGGCGCGTCTATATTAAAGCAAACAAGACTTAAGACCTGAGGAGGGGAGAGCTACATTTATAGGGACAGGGAACTAGCTAGAAAGGGAACAATATCAGGCAATCACAGTCCTGCCTTTTGGAGGAAACCAATAAGACAGAGGATCCAAATACAGCAGCTTAAATGAACCAATAGTAGCTGTACCCTCTGGAACCAAAGGGCAGTTACTTTACCCTAATGCAAATACAGACACTAATAATACAGATATAAAGTCCTTTGACTCAATACACAACACTCCCTAACAGAGAGCACATTTTGCAGTTTGGCATAGCCAGGGACGGATAACTTTAAAGTGTTAAGATCAGAAGGAGGAAAATATGAAAGCAACGAGAAGAGGCAGGAAGAAAATTTGGAGATATGCTTCAGAGGTCCAGACTATAGGGAGCCTGTAAAAATTAATAACTACAATTTGGTTGTTTTGTTTTTAGTTTATTATTTTTAATTGGATTATGATTCGGGTATCTTGATTGGCTATTTTTATTGGAAAATCAATAAAAATGATTTAAAAAAAAGAAAAAATGAAGACACAATTTCATACCGGCGGTGGCTAGACAGGGGAGGAAGGCTAATTGTGTTGGATCTGGAATTATCATATTTATTTATTCTTTTGTTCCCCGCCCATCTGGCTGACCACTTCTCGGTCCCTGCTCCTGCCAACCTAGTAGTTCAAAAGCACATCAAAGTGCAAGTAGATAAATAGGTACCGCTCCAGCAGGAAGGTAAACGGCGTTTCTGTGCGCTGCTCTGGTTAGCCAGAAGCAGCTTAGTCCTGCTGCCCACATGACCCAGAAGCTGAACGCCGGCTCCCTTGGCCAATAAAGCGAGATGAGTGCCACAACCCCAGAGTCGGTCACGACTGGACCTAATGGTCAGGGGTCCCTTTACCTTTAAGGCAGCTTCCAACAAAGAGAGAAATTGTAAAAGGACTAAGTGTGGGGTGATTCATATTTCTGCTAACAACACTGCTCTCCCCATGCGGTCCCCACCCTCCCAAAAGGGTATCGTGGAGTTGGGAAGAGTTTCAGGAAACACCAGCCAAAGTCGGAACGTCTCCCACATGCGGAGAGGTTTCAACATTTGGGGATTTTTTTGGTTTAGAGGGAAATGTGAGAAAGAGGCAACTAGGCAGAACTTTATAAAATTATGCGCGGTCCATCTTATGGGCTGCTTGTCACATTTATTTTATTTTTAGGAGGGAAAACTAATGCGTGGCACGGAAAAGGAAACGCAAGCCGTGGGGAACACTGATAACGTGCTTCTCGCGCTCCCATAATGCCAGACATCCAATGAAGCCGAACGTTGGACCAAAGAAAAGTATTTCACAGTTAAACTGTGGAACTCACTGCCACAAGAAGCACCAACAGCCACTGATTTTAAAAAAGACAAATTCATGGAGGAGAGGGTTATCGAGTGATGATGAGGATGATAATTTTTTTTATTTGTACCCCACCCATCTGTCTGAAGGCAGTATTTACCGTATTTTCGCTCCATAAGACGCACCTAGTTTTTAGAGGAAGAAAACGGGGGGGGGGGGATTCTGAACGAAACAGTGGATGTATGATTTTGGTGGTTCATGCTGTGGCCACAGACATGTGATTTGACAGTGAGTTTGGAGTAGCCCAATGCAAAAATCCTGAGGATCCATGTGGATCCGTGCTTTGTAACCATGTTTTTGCGCCATTGCGGCCCCACGCAACAGTGGGTGCGTGATATTTTTGGTGCAGGCTGTAGCCATGGACATGTTATGTGATCTGATGGTGAATCTGGGGTGACCCAATGTAAAAATGCTGAGGATCCATGGGCTTTTACTTCCCCCTCAATAAATATCTTATACAACAACAACAACAAAAGTCCTAAACGGCCTCAGCCCAGTATACCTGAAGGAGCGTCTCCACCCCCATCGTTCTGCCCGGACACTGAGGTCCAACGCCAAGGGCCTTCTGGCAGTTCCCTCCCTGCGAGAAGCTAAGTTACAGGGAACCAGGCAGAGGGCCTTCTCGGTAGTGGCACCCAACCTGTGGAATGCCCTCCCACCAGATGTCAAAGAGAACAACAACTACCAGACTTTTAGAAGACATCTGAAGGCAGCCCTGTTTAGGGAAGCTTTTATAATAGACTATTGTATTTTAATATTCTGTTGGAAGCCACACAGAGTGGCGGGAGAAACCCAGCCAGATGGGCGGGGTATGTATGTATGTATGTATGTATAAATAAATAAATAAATAAAATCAACCTGCTTCATTGGAGGTTTTTAGAAGGCCATCTGTCATGGATGCTTCAGCTGAGATTCCTGCATTGCGGGTGTTTGGGCCAGATGACCCTCAAAATCCTTTCCAAAGCTACAATTCTATGATCCCATGAGCTAGGGGTGCAACAAGTTAAGCTGCAGAAAGAACCTCTCATTTGCAAATCATGTTCTTTCACCCAGACTGGGGGGTGGGGTTAGACCAGATGTGAAACAGGATGGTGTTTGCGTCAGAACGCCCCGCTTAAAATGAAGGAGGGAGGGAAAACACTTTCGTTTTAGCGGCACCTTCCATCTGATGTTATTGCGACATCAGGTGATTGACAGGGAGTGTCCCCGCCCACCTGCTAAATTTCATCTTCAAGGCCAATCAGCTTCGTGGAGCCAAAAAGCTATCTATGTAGGAATGGCTAAGTCAATGCAAACAGGAACTGAGCAGGAAGAAGAAACAAGTCTGTTGTGGATTGTGGATTTTTGAGGGGTTTCTCTACTGAGACCTTTCATGGGCGTCACAGAAGGGGCCGAGCACCCCATGTTGGTGATTCCCTGCATTAGGGCATTATACCTACTTGAAACGACAATTCACGGCGGGGGGTGAGCCCTTACCCAGCACGCTGGAGACCCCCTCATTTCCCCGCTTGAACTCCCCACCAAGCTGCCTCTGGGTTGTTTCCGGCGATGCCTCCACATTTCCAGCGAAGGTCACAGCAGCCTCTCGGAAGGCCCCTGGCACCTGAAATACCCGTCAACGTTTTAGTCAAGAAACAAAGCGGTCCAGACTAAGGTTACCAGATTTTTTTCAATGAATCTGGGGACCCTATACATATATACATACATACATACATACTTACTACACGTTTGGGATGTTGCTACTGCAGCGATGGCGGTGGGCTGGCAGAGGGGCGTCCACCGCCTTGACCTCAACCGCCATGGTTCCCCTTCTCCTTTCTCCATGAGCCTGGGCAGGCCCTAAGTTGTACGTTCTTCGGTGGTGGTGGTGGGGAAGCAGTGCGCAGTGGGTCTGGCATACAAGGCGGAGGAGGGCCAAGAGCAGCAGCAGCGGCGAGGCTCAGGCAGCACGATGCCTCCCATCCCATCGGAGCAGCCCCAATCCCATTCCTACTTGCGTGCTAGCAGGAGGGAGCAGGGATCCCTCAGCTGGAAAGGGAGGCTTCCCGTTGCCTAACTGAGAGATCCTGCCCCCTCCTGCTTGCACGCAAGCTCCGATAGGCAGCGTGAAGCCTCCCTTCACAGCTGAGAGATCCCCGCCCCGCTCCTGCTTGCATGCAAGTAGGAGTTGGGAAATTGATGCTTTTGAATTATGGTGATGGAGGAGACTCTTGAGAGTCCCATGGACTGCAAGAGGATCAAACCGGTCCATTCTGAAGGAAATCAGCCCTGAGTGCTCACTGGAAGGACAGATCGTGAAGCTGAGGCTCCAGTACTTTGGCCACCTCGTGAGAAGAGAAGACTCCCTGGAAAAGACCCTGATGTTGGGAAAGATGGAGGGCACAAGGAGAAGGGGACGACAGAGGACGAGGAAAAGTTCTCCTCCTCTGCTCTCCCTCCGGAAAACCCCTCAACATCTTCAGGTGTGTATCTCTCTCCCTCAGGTATGCCCACCCACCTTTTACCTGCTGAATAAATGAGAAAAAGAAGGTTATTTCTCTTACTTCTCTTAATTTGATTTCTTCACCCTAACGTCCCTCAGTGGACTACAGAAATTTAAAATTCAGTACCAAATTATCTAAGGTTGTTCACCAAAGCCAGACTAAACGTCTTTCCTTCTGCAGTGTTGGATGGCAGGTTGAGAGGAGTTCCCTACCAGGACAGACTTTGCTCATGTGCTCAAGACATCGATTCTATAAAACATATTTTGCTGCGAAACATGAGCAAGCCAAGGCTGAACTGATATTACCCTTGCTGGTACCTTTCCTGGGAAAATCAGAGGCTCATTATGTCAGGTTCCTATTGGAAGACCGGACAAACGCTAGAACATTAGCAGTGGCAAAGTTTTTATCGGTGGTTGCAAGAACCAATGATCCCTGTCTTTAAGTCTGAACAAAATGCTTGTTTAACCTGGAGGTAGGCTGTCTGAATTGTGCATTGCTTTGTAACAATTTGTTGGGTCTCTGGACCGTAATAAAGGGGGGGGGGAAATCAATGCTAAAAGCAGTTCAAAACAATTTACAGTCACAGCGATCTGCTGTGACCTGAAAAACGTGTCTCTTGGATCATAGAATCATAGAGTTGTAAGGGACCCGAGGGTCATCTAGTCCAACCCCCTGCAAGGCAGGAATCTCAGCTCAAGCATCCATGGCAGATGCCCATCCAACTCCTTTCCTGCAACTTGAAGCCACTGGTTTGAATCCTACCTTCCAGAGCAGGAGGAAACAAGCTTGCTCCATCCTCCATGTGACAGCCATCTTTGAAGATGGCTACCATATCTCCTCTCAGTCTCCTCTTTTGCAGGCTAAACATCCCCAGCTCCTTCAACCGTTCCTCACAAGGCTTAGCTTCTAGATCATCCTAGTTGACCTCCTCTGCACACGCGAAGCCAAAGTGGTTGTGTCTTCAGCCTGTGATGGGAGCAATACAATGAAGGTGCATGATCCAGGGGGCACGACTCTAAATCCGGCCCTACTTCCCTGCCAGTTGGGCCTCACTTGCATCTTCCTGCTTGGCCTCCACGTATAGGGGCCTCTGTTCGACATCTGCGGACGGCACTTCCTCAGAGACATCTGCGGCGGCCTCCTCAAATCCCACCTGCAACATCAGGAAGGAACCCTGTCAGGACAGAGCAACAGGGCAAGGAGGGAGAGGCCTGGGCGGAAAACCCAGAGCCTCCCTCAAACCCCACCCTGAAGCCATCACCCAGCCATACCCTCCAACGTTCCTTAGATGAAAAGAGGGGCATTTGTCACTCCCCACTCAACTGACCCTCCTCATCCCCAACCCCCATTTTTGTTCCCCAACCCATCCCAGCAGAGCATTCCCACCACGACCACACCAAGGGGATGCAGCACAAACGCCCTCCTGAGAAAAACCCTTCACCCCGGCTTTCTTTTTTGGTCAATTGACAAAAAGAGAAGCACACGCCAATGAATACATTTTAGAAAGGGGCAAGATTAGATGCAGACGCACAAATCACTTTTTTCAAATACAGCAGTTTTTGAAACGTAATCCGTTCCTGAAGACCGTTCGACTTCCAAAACGAATGTAGTTGGTCAAGGGAGCCGTGGACTCAAGAAAGTCCAAAACCTCTGGGCTAAGGGAAACCCAGCCAGATTGGGGGGGGGGTATAAAAAGTAAGTTATTATTATAATTATTGGCATTTTCTCAAGTCTTTAAAAGTTGTTACACACACTTGTCTTGGCTGCTCACCTCCATGCAACATGTAAGGTGAGAAACTCTGTCGCAACAGTAAAATTAAGATCTGCCTTGCTTTGACTGGTTCCTGCCGCCGCTCATTTTTCTCTGACCGATCATGGATTTAGCCCCAACCCCAAGAAACCAGTAACTGAAAGGAGGTGGTTCATGGGAATTGAAGAGTATGCTTTCTGCATACAGCACACCCACTGCCAAGCACCTCCATCTCACCTGCCCCCAACCCCATACCACCCCTCTCCTAAAACCCCAGTCTGTCACTGAGTCCTTCCCAGCAATAGAATAAGCCAAACTGGAAGATTCCTAAAATGTTATTAATCCAGAGTTCAGAGTTCAGAATTCAAAGGTCCCAAATATAAAATAAATGTTCATAAATGTACACGGCAAACACATAAGTAAGTACAGGGGTTCAATCCTGTCAGCTTCTTTAGGAGACAACAAGAGTCTGCAAAGCAGGATACAAATAATAGAAAAAGTATTAAACTGTACATTTCAAAGAATATATATATATATCACCCTAGTGTTGCATGGCATTCACATTTTCTAACCACTAGGCCACACGGCCTCTCCTAGAACCTTGGCACTGAGGCCGGGAATTCCATGTTCCCAACTGCCGTTGCCTAGCAACGGAGCTTGGGACCGTTTGAGGTTCCTCAGTTCCTCAGCATCCTGAGGTGGGCAGAGGTGTGCCAACCTGTTGCGACAGAGTTTCTCACGTTGCACGGAGGTGAGGAGCCAGGACAAGTTTAAAGACTTGAGTATAGCGTCACGAAGAGTCGGACACGACTAGACAGCAACAACAAATGGAGGTAAGTCTAGGTTGCCATGGCCAGGGGAACTATCCCTGGAACCTACTTGTATGAACTTTATTATGGTCACAGACCAGGATAAAAAAGAAAGAAAGAGCATATAAATAAAGTAGCAGTTAGGATTTATTTATTTTTAACCGATAACTGTTAGAGCAAATGAGGACAAAGAAACAGGCATAGGATAAAACTGTTTAATGGTCACTTTAAAATGTGAAGGTTCATTGTTGCTTCACAAGTTGTGTATGTCTTTAAGGGCCAGGGCAAGTAACGAAACCCACTCTTACAGCTGTGAAACATAGCAGGTTCTGCTGAGTTGTGTTAATCAAGCTGTGTCAGCAATTGGGTATAGTACCGTATTTTTCGCTCCATCGGACGCACTTTTCCCCCCTTAAAAAGTAAGGGGAAATGTCTGTGCGTCTTATGGAGCGAAGCCAGCAAGAGCCGCTGCTGCCGACAAGCTCTGCGCAGCTCTCCCTTTAAAGCAAGAGCTGTGTAGAGTGTGCCTGCGGCTCTGGCTGGGTTTCCAGGGAGGCGGGTCTGTCCCTCCTTCCGGATCATTGGAAAGCCAGCAAGAGCCGCGGCTGCTGAGCTGAGGCGGGGAGGAGGGAGGGAAGGGGATTCCGTTGGTCCCTCCCTCCTCCGTGGCTCCCTTTGAAGCAGCAAAGTGGGAGGGAAGCCGCTTACACCCGTGTAAGCAGCTCCTCTCCCACTTTCCTGCTTCAAAAACCACGGAGGAGGGAAGGAGGGGACCCATGGATCCTCTTCGCTAGCAGCAAAGTGGGAGGGGAGCAGCTTACACTCGTGTAAGCAGCTCCTCTCCCACTTTCCTGCTTCAAAGCAGCCACGGAGGAGGGAAGAAGGGGACCCATGGATCCTCTTCGCTGCTCGAGGCTGCAGCGGATTCCCTCCTCCCGGGCTTAATAATGTATATACCGTATTTTTCTCTGTATTACACGCAGATTTTTTCTCCTAAAAAGGAAGGGGAAATGTCTGTGCGTGTTATGGAGCGAATGTGGGGGGTCCCTGGAGCCGATTAGGGGAGCGCAGGAACAAAAATCAGCAAAAATCAAATCGTGCGTTGCGTCGGAGAGGGAAACCTGAAAAGAGGAAGTGGTTGCTTTCCTGCATTCTGCCTCAGGGTCTTACTGCCCACCCTCCTCTGTTTCGTTGCTGTGTTTGCTCAAACGGAACAAAGAGCAGGCAAATCCCCTCCCCTCCAGGCAAGCAGAGGGGAAAGCAGAGGTCTTTCCTTCTAATTCCTCTCCGTGCTCCTCGCAGGCAGCCAGAAAACATGCAGGAGGAGAGAGAGAGCTGGCTTCGGTTTGGGGAAACTTTTGCCTTTCTTTCCTTCCTCCCGTTAAATCCCTCTCCTGCTTTCTTAGCCAGCTGCTTCTCTGCACACCGCTCTCTTGTCCCTTCTGTGTTTTTCCTTCACTCCCCACTTAAAATGTAGTTACAAAGCATGGATCCACATGGATCCTCAGGATCTTTGCATTGGGCCACCCCAAATTCACCATCAGATCACATAGCAGCCTGCCCCCCAAAAATCACACACCCACTGTTGCCTGGGGCTGCAATGGTGCAAAAACGTGGTTAAAAAGCATGGATCCACATGGATCCTCAGGATCTTTGCATTGGGCCACCCCAAATTCACCATCAGATCACATAGCAGCCTGCCCCCCAAAAATCACACACCCGCTGTTGCCTGGGGCTGCAATGGTGCAAAAATGTGGTTAAAAAGCATGGATCCACATGGATCCTCAGGATCTTTGCATTGGGCCACCCCAAATTCACCATCAGATCACATAGCAGCCTGCCCCCCAAAAATCACATACCCACTGTTGCCTGGGGCTGCAATGGTGCAAAAATGTAGTTAAAAAGCATGGATCCACATGGATCCTCAGGATCTTTGCATTGAGCTACCCCAAATTCACCATCAGATTACATGTCTGTGGCCACAGCATGAAGCACAAAAATGATACATCCACTGTTTCATTCAGAATTTCCCCCCTTGTTTTCCTCCTCTAAAAACGATGTGCGTGTTATGGTCAGGTGCGTGTTATAGAGCGAAAAATACGGTATGTCAAGGGCTTTGAGATGCATATAAAATCAGGCTCAGCATTATTAACTGGACTTAGATAAGCCATGGTTCCCCTTCCTTCCCTCCTCTGAGTCTCGCTTTAAAGCAGCAAAGTGGACAGGAGCCACCCGCTTTGCTGCTTTAAATAGTTTGGTACAACATTTTATTCAGAATATTTTTTTTCATGTTTTCCTCCTCTAAAAACTCTCTGTCTTCTGTCTCCTCTGCCCAGGAGGACTCTCCTGTGTGAGTGTCTGAATAGTTTAGTACAACATTTTATTCAGAATATTTTTTTTCATGTTTTCCTCCTCTAAAAACTCTCTGTCTGAGGGCCCTGCTCTTGCCGCTTACCACCTACCTGGCCCAGGCCTGAAGCATCACAGGGACTGCTGCGCTCTGCTGCCCAGGAGGACCCTGCTCTTGCCGCTTACCATCTACCTGGCCCGGGGCGGGGCCTGAAGCCTCATAAGGACTGCTGCGCTCTGCTGCCCAGGAGGACTCTCCTGTGTGAGGGCCCTGCTCTTGCCACTTACCACCTACCTGGCCCAGGCCTGAAGCCTCACAGGGACTGCTGCACTCTGCTGCCCAGGAGGACTCTGCTCTTGCCGCTTACCATCTACCTGGCCCGGGGCGGGGCCTGAAGCCTCATAAGGACTGCTGCGCTCTGCTGCCCAGGAGGACTCTCCTGTGTGAGTGTCTGAGGGCCCTGCTCTTGCCGCTTACCATCTACCTGGCCCGGGGCGGGGCCTGAAGCCTCATAAGGACTGCTGCGCTCTGCTGCCCAGGAGGACTCTCCTGTGTGAGTGAGGGCCCTGCTCTTGCCGCTTACCACCTACCTGGCCCAGGCCTGAAGCCTCACAGGGACTGCTGCGCTCTGCTGCCCAGGAGGACCCTGCTCTTGCCGCTTACCATCTACCTGGCCCGGGGCGGGGCCTGAAGCCTCATAAGGACTGCTGCGCTCTGCTGCCCAGGAGGACTCTCCTGTGTGAGTGAGGGCCCTGCTCTTGCCGCTTACCACCTACCTGGCCCAGGCCTGAAGCCTCACAGGGACTGCTGCGCTCTGCTGCCCAGGAGGACTCTGCTCTTGCCGCTTACCATCTACCTGGCCCGGGGCCGGGGCCTGAAGCCTCATAAGGACTGCTGCGCTCT